GCCCAAAATCAATAGATAATAATCAAGCAATGTACCTAATATTTTCAGTTAGGTAAACCCATAATCGTTCTCAATAGCAACAAGCGGTTCTATTTCGACACGAAGACGCGACGCGTATTGAGTGTCTGCCCTGCCAAGTGAACCATTTAGCATTTGCGTCATATCATCATAACGATTTCTCAATTAGCATATTGAAAAAGAATTCCGTTCTGGAAATACAGTATTTAGATGAGATAAATAACCACGTATATAATAAATAATGAATCTTTTACTAGAGTTTCTACTTAAATATGTAGTATACATATACTCGTATTAAGTATTTCCAACTAATATGTTTTTTTTTTGTTTTTACACCAAATATCCCTATTGTAAAGTTACAACTTTGCCTATAGGTAATAGAGATCCATGCTACGACCATAATGTGTAGAGAAGTGCCGTTTTGAAGATTTTTCGCTTTTAAAATAATTTGTCACCTACTTTACTTCTTTTTATTTAGAGCTTTCTAATGAAGTAGGTACATATTGTAAGTTAAAATGCCACATTTATGTGTAACATTTAAACCACTCCGCAATGAAATAAAAACTACTTATGTGTATTATGACTGTCTTGTAATGTCTTGTCATGAATTTTCTATCACTATTTTTCTCATATATCTACATATATATATGTACAAAATATATTTTTACATTATTTTTCGAAAAAAATTGGTCCATTTATAAAATAATTAGTAATAATTTAATCTTGTTAAGAAAGTAATGGTTTATTTACAGGTAAAAATAATATTTAGTTCAGTTCTACGGTCTAGCGGGAAATTCTTTATAATATTCCAAGTGAAGATACCAATATGTATTATGTTATTTCGTCTGCATTCGAGTTTCCTTGGCTTTATATGGATATATGTGCTATACACCTGATATGCTATGATGTTATAATTGATGTGTTATGTACTTGAATTTACTTAATATTTTATGTATCATTGGTATCTCATACATATTTATACTCTAAGTTATAAGATTAGAAATAATTATTAAACCTGTTTTGCATATATAAAAGCGACCGTTAATTTATAGCTGGTATATTTCATAAAATAAAATGATAAAGACAAATCATTATGAGAGACAGCTAATTAGTGATAAAACCTTCGCCTACAGATAATTAATATTTGTTTAAACAATTTCCGTTACTAACGCTAATACAAGTTAACGTTTTGAAATTTTCATATCTGGTGGAAATAATACATTAGTACCAAAATCTTTTTTCAATTTCTTTTAACCTTATAGAAATTTTTTAAGAAAATAAACAAATGAGATATGATGACACGGCTTTTTTTAACACGCTTTTATTAGTATATATGTATGAAACGGTAGTATCTATCTATGTAATGTCTTCAAACATGTTTTTGACCCACTTCAAAACGCCGAATTAAATTAAAACTTTGCACACTTGCCAATGACCGATGACAATGCAATAATTTAAATAGTTAGTCCCATTATCCTGATCAGGACGGTAGTGTCTTTTGCCACGTACGTAGCTAGCCTAACTAAAAAGTAGGAAATAATTTTCTATAAGTTTAAAAAGAAAAATCATTTAATCGTAAAAAAGCGTGGGGTGCTTTTCAAGGTATTTTGTATATAAAATATATTTAACTTAAATACTATACTATAACCTAATAACTAAATACTATAAACTTTATTTTTACCAATATCACTCAGTAAAATATTTTTACAGCAATTGAGATCTTTTTATGATAGTTACAGCTAGTTTTTACCGCGATAACCAACATACACACGAACGGAGCTGCGGGGAAAAGCTCAATAAAATCTTTGTTAAAATGGCAATAAAAACACAATTAAAAAGCATATATCCACCCTTTTAGTTGATTTGCGATATAAATGGATTTAATTCACTAAGGCACCAAAGCCAAATTATAAATTATAAACTTGTTGGATTCTAAAGACAAATTAAATTTAGTAGCTTAGAATGTTTTAGATATGTGTAAAATGATAATAGTCGTAATTTGTAAAACTATGTATTTATTTTATTTATAAAAGTTTATAAATATCTTAAAGCTCGTTTGGAACTACTTTCTTGCATAGAGTCCATTTTCATAATTTTAGTCATTTGAATATCCGTAATCTCAAACCAAATTTTATTTCTGACTGTACCTGTCTGGGTTTAGTACCAGAAATCAAGCGTGGGCTTGATAAGAGAGGTAGTTGCAGCTTTTGAATTGTGAATGTACATTATTGTCCGCTAATGATAATAATTTTCACAGTCGAGTAAGTTCGGTCGGCAGTTGGACCTTATTATAATAAATTAACGGCGGTGTACCCTAATGGGCTTCCCGTACATAATTATACTCAATATTACAAACTGCTAAAGGGTCGCTGGTAAAAAATCGCTTTATACCTACCTCCATCGGTCAATTTATGTCCAAGGTTGTAGTTTTATTACGGAAAACGTTTATATGTAAACATTTAACCGTTTTGATTGAAACAAAGTAGATTTTAATTTGGAAATTGGCTTACGTCATCCGTTATTTTGTGTTTCACATACCTTATACTCTTGTAATGTTAACATAAAGCATTGAAATAAACAGTTAAGAAGATCGTCTTGGATTTCTGAAGCAAAACAATGTCTAAATATTTATTTAAAGGCATGAAAATAGAAATGTGTCCGTGAAAGTTGTAAATACAAGCACTGCAATAATTTTCAAATTCATTTTCCATTCCATATTAATTTCATATATTCAACAGAAAATATATATTTTCTTTTTTTGTAGATTGTTAACCCTTTAAAGTCTTGCGGAAAATTTAAAACTTCCGGCAATAGGATAAGCTAGCAATATTTTTAATTGGGAAATCCCCAGCAAAATAACAGCGCAAATTGCGTTTGTGTTTTTTCTTATCGCTACGACATATTATTTACATTCATTTAAAAGCCATAAAATTTTCACGTCACTCACAACCAGTTATATGCTAGTAGTCGGTAGTGCATCATAAAAATCACGTTATAATGAGAAAAAAAATAGTTAAATAAGTAATAAAAAACTGCAAAAAATTGGGCCTACCGGCTAAGGCAAAATAGCAAAAAATTATAGGCGAACAAAATATTATGAGAAAAATATTTGACGACATTTTCATTGGGCAGTTTTGAGCTTAGATACATAAACATACTTAAAAGGTTCTTTTTAAAAAAAAAATTTAAACCTTGTTAACAATAGCTAAATCCTTATGTAGCTAACTGCGTTAGGAAATAATATATAGCTGGGACTTGTTATTGATACAGAAGATACCTTTCCCTTTAAGTAGTTCGGTCGTTTTGTCCTGGGCGTTTTGGGGCTGGACTACTGAGATTAATTTGCTCTCATTAGCTCGGTTACGACGTCAATAAATCATAAGTTTGTATGAGAAAATACATATTTAAAGAAAAGAAGATAAGATTAATATTATTTACGTATCAATTGCTAGTAATACCCCATCCTACAATGTGTGCAACTTTCCTACCTATGTCTTACAAATGAAAGAAAAGAAGAACAAAAGTTTGTGTAGTCAGACCATTTAGTAATTTAAATGCTATTGCAATTCTTAGAGAGAGTAGGCGATAAAAAAGGTTCCACACTAGTACATAACATGTACATAGCATTCACGGCGCACGTCATAAAGTCTTTAATCTGTACTTGTAGCCACAAAGCGTGTACAAGTTGAAGGTAAGTGATGTGGGAGGAAATGGTGACCGCAAGAAGCCCTACCGAGAGGGAAGGCTTCTCGGTTAAACTCGAGGACAGCACCTACTCTAGTTTAATAAGAAACACGTTTAGTGTGTGAGGTCATTGACTGAGATTATGCTTACCCACAAAAGGTGTTCGATCAATATTTTTGTGACATCAAGGAACATAAGACAGTCATTATTAAGTGAAAGGACAGCTAAACTTTTCAGTCGAGACTATTGAAGATTGGTGCTTGAATATTACCTACAGCTATGCGGTTCTTTAGGTCAAAGTTGTAGTCGTCGATGTATACCTAGTATGCCACGATTTTATATGTAAAATAACTTTATTGGGCAGTACTAATTAGAATTCGTGGGAGACATCAATAAAGACATCGCGGGAGAGCCATACGGCACAGATGGGCCAGCGCGACTGACTCTGAGGGAGGGAACTCTTGAGTTGCAAGTGCCCATGGGAGGCGGTAATCACTTGCCATCACCCGTCTGCCCGTTTGCTCCCTATTTAACAAAAAATTAAGTAATCATGGATACCAACACCTAACAGTATCGAATAATCGAATCGCTGCTGTGTGTACCGTTTTTGCTTCTTTTTCATACAAGTTCGTAGTTTTCAGGACGTTCATTAATTTACAAAAAAAATGTTATAATTAGAAAGTTGTACAATTTGAGCGAGATAACAATTTAAAGGACGTTGCTATAAGGTCGTCAGTTTAATGCTAGTTAAAGACTAAAACTGTGTTGTTTACTATGTACGAGTATACTAGGAAAATATTCATTATTAGAATTTCCTAGAAAAAGTGAAACCGACATTAATTAAGTGGGTTAAGGTCACTTATTAACAATATCGTAAAATGGATATCAATAACAATAGTAATAGTCACTTATTAACAATTGTATTAGAACACCCATCGTTTTTTTGGGTTTATTTATTAATTATGATCAGTTCAAAAGCCTGTGCTATTTTCAACCAGACAGCATACTTAAATATTTCTAAATTAATACATTTTATAGATAAATTACACCTAGACATAGAACAAATAATCGTACTCAACACACAATATTTGTTCTGGGTGGGAATCAAACTCATGACCTCTGACTTAGCAGTCCGCCCGTTAATGTATACCTACTACATCACAAGGGCGAAGACTAACACAGATTATAATCTAGCAAAGAATTCAGGGCTCTCGTTAAAAAAGAAACCACTTAATGTCAATTATAAAAAAATATTTATTACGGCAACCTATGTTATTAACATTTATGTTTATCTGCAGGTGTGAAGGATGATTCAGACGACGTGTCAAGTAAAAGTTGCGGTGGAGATTCATCAGGGTTGGCCAAGAAGCAGCGAAAAGCGCGAACAGCGTTCACGGACCACCAGCTGCAAACTTTAGAAAAGTCTTTCGAGAGACAGAAGTACCTTAGCGTCCAAGATCGAATGGAGCTGGCCGCTAAACTAGGACTAACGGATACTCAGGTCAAAACCTGGTATCAGAATAGAAGGTAAGATTTTTCACGTCATTCTTTTCGTATAATTACTGTCACAGTAGATTGCCTATTAGAGACATATGTGTTAGGCTACTATATAAAATTATTAGTTACTATAACAAATAATAGGCTTTAGTGAGAAGCGAATAAAAATGCCGATATAAAATTAAGTTTTTAAGGAGAAAAAAGAACTAAAACTGAAAGCAGTTTTCTATTCTATATATCCTTAAGTTCAATCTTAACGTACTATAAAAGCCTTTATTCTATTAACTCAGCCCTAACTGATGAAGACAATTATAGTGAAATAAAAAAAAGTCGTAGAATAAAGACGGAGTGAAGAAAACAATTAACTATCATTTTAGTAGGCCAATCACAGGAGTTAATATCATTTTTACTTGTGGTCCAAGTACGAGTAATTAATAAGCATGAACCGTGCACATTAAATATTTTATTGCTTCTCCTGCACGACAATATGTTAACAGCACTATTTATTTATTTTACTCTCAAAAAATTGATTATAGTATATTATTATCACATCACATCAACAGCCTTTAATAGTCCACTGCTGAACATAGGCCTCTCCTTATATTATTTTAATACTTATTTTATTTATTTTCTTAACTGGTTTTTTATGTACATATAATATGTATTTATTTACAAAAAAAGTATATAAGTATTCTATCAGTCAATGTAGCTTTCATAGTAGGTACAAGCTCTACTTAGTTTGAAACTAGATGGCTTTTCACGTCTTTTCAATAGTACAAATTATATTAATATTTTTTAAAGTTGCCCGTACAAAAAAATATTTGAAACTTATTTAATAACTAAGTATTAGTCAAATATATTACAGTTTAATACATTACAGCAGGTTCATTCATGTTAATTAACGGTTTTTATTAAATATTCGTTTAACGTTATGCTCATAAAAAGTAAATGTAATTATATACACATTATTATGAAATGTGTATATATTATGTGTGTATATTATACAATTTATTCTAAATCTTGCGTTGTATCACGCTACCGCTAGTGACAGAAGCTCGACGAGGCGGTTAGCCGTGAGAGCGTCGGCGTGACTATACAAAGCAATGCTGAGTCAGTGGGACTGTCGACATGCTACTGCTACTGCGATGGCAGACCGTTATTGTAACCTCACTAAACGATTTATACTACCTACTTCTGTAATAATCATTATGAAACAAACATGTTGAATGTATCTCATGTTTAAATTTAACAAATATATAGGATGTGTTTAAGTAGATCTTTAGACAATTTTATGTATTTAGTTTTATATTTTAAATATTCTATTATACATACACTTTTAATTATAGCTTTAGCTCATGAAGCTACAAGGGAGCTGTGACATAAAAACATGTTTGATACATATTTTTTGGTTTCAATTTATTAAATTTTATGTACTTAAAGCACTTAAATTTATTAACAAATCCTATGTGTATTAATAAGTGAAAAGGTTTTTAAGCATTTTTGAAAACACTAAAATCGTCAACGGAACTATTATGAGATTTGAAATACTTGAAGAAAGCTAAACAATATGTGTAAAAAAAAATATGTATGGCTACTACCGGCACTTAAGGCTACATGCGTCATGTTTCTTCTCTTTTCTGAAATCTCATGTTGTGTCTAGATCGCATAATGTTCATATTCTATGGGAAGCGACTGAAAGGGCACAACGCACTTGTGTCCCTTGAGTTGCATGTTTCCATTTTGCGGACCTCCGGTCGGAACGAAGTTCCTTTCGCTTTTTGGTAGACGTTTGCTATATATATGAAATGTAAAAAAGATTTGAGCGTCGACACGCTAACTGAAGTGTCGAAAAAAGTCTTGTTACACATTTCGTTCCAAAAACTTATTAAAAAATTAGTTTTAAACCAGATATACAGACACTAGGTATAATGAAAAACGACAGTATATCGACGGTAGTACCTGCCGGCGATTTAAAAAACAAACGGTTGTAATTACCCCACCGCACCGCGGCATCGGCCGCATCCTTCGACCCAATGCGTCTTCTCTAAAAAAACTACGGTAGCCAATAATAAACTACACTAATATCTACTGATTGAATATTATCTTTCTAATCGTCATCGAATTTCATTTAAAATAAGTCTATTGTTTATAGAACCTTTAATAGATCCTTTAATATTTAATTAAAAATAGGTTTAGTTCTTAATTTGTGTATTTTAATTTTTTTTGGACATATCTAGGATTTTATACCAGCACTGCATATCCAATTTTTAAATTTAGTGGTGCTTATGAAGACTTCTAATAGGTTCTAGATTATAATATAGCAATAATTTAGAGGCATATTTAGGTTATAAATCCTCGAAAATAGGCGAGGCTTTAAACACTTGTTAGTTTATAACAGACGGATAGTTTATAAACAGACGGGTAGTAATAGTAACAACATAAAGTGTAGTCAAGGGCCAGTGACGTTTTAGTTCACAAACTGCAGTTTGTCCGGTGACAGTCCAACAAAACCGGGTGGCCGCTGCGCAGGCGCCGCGCTGCGATTCTCTCCGCATCTGCCCAGTCTGTCTTTTTGCCGCACTTTTTGTTGGTTTTCTATAATTTCGGTTAAACTAATGTTTGGGCTTCGATTTTTCGGTTCGTGAAAGGGTGTGAAATCGGAGTTAATTGAAGGATGTAATGGCTTTTGTGTGCGGTCACTTTCCTTTAGTTTTTTTGTGAGCTTACCCAAATAGAATATGGCATGGCACCTACCTACTAATAATAAATACCGATTTTTTGGTGCACGCACTCAGAACGAGCACATGACTTATGAATTTTTATTAAATAATGATTATTTATAATTTAGAAGGACACGGGGCAATATTATTTTAATAACTTAGAGTCGAACCGAAGCAATTAGTTTTAATTACGTATTTACAAGACACGTCGTTTGCTTTTTGGTTAATTATAAATAATTACGTACTTACAAGTCCTGTTATCCTCTTAATTATTTGACTGTAAGCAGTCAAAAAGCAAATCATTGCCACGAGTTTATCACTTACAATTTGAAGTGCTTTAAGTTTAGCATCTTTTTCTTTGCTAAAGCACTAATTTATTCTTGCAGAATTGTGTATCTAAATGTGCTAAATCTACCCTAAAATCTAACAGGAATACAAGAAAATGATCGAATATATTCATTTTAAGTCATTCCTTTCATCATTTAAATCCTTTTATTCATTGTTAATGTTAGTTAAACATGAAAGGATTGTTTAAACTTGAATGACATTGGAACGTCAATCTGTGACCTTCACATTTATACATTATTATTTTACGGCCTACTGGGCATAATTTCGACGTTGTCTCACTATAATGCTAAAGTTATTGCTTTAATGTACCTTTTAGCGTCATTTTGTGTGTGATTTTGAGGTGGATTTAATTAACTGATTAGAATAACATACTCTGTTGAAAAAACAGCTTTTCTAAAATAATTATACAAATAGTAATAGTAATAATAAATTAGCATTGCGCCTCAACACGGCATTACCGCCAGATTTCTGGGAACGCTACTAGTAAGCGACGCTGCCGATTAATTTTTACACAATTGTATGCAAATAAGGTTTAATTTTATTACATTACTTATTTTTAATTATAATTTGTATACTTTTGACATGTAAATTACACCAATAACAGAGCAAACGTTCTATATTGTTAGTTATTTACCATATCATACACTAGTGTTTTTAGTTTTATAAACTTTACGATAGAGATCGGAAGATTCCTCGGCTTAGTTACATATCTTTTCTAAAAAGTTAGTTATAAAAACAGAACTCAATTAGAGTGTCTTAATACTTTAACTTTTTTTAAAGAAATAATATTTTTATGTCAGCTGAATGTTGAGTTCGTGAAATGAACAATTTTTAAAGCATATTGTGCACCTACAGTAGTGGACTATGAGCCTACTAATATTTAAAGTTGTATGTATTTGTAATTTGTGGTACAAATAGGCATATCAAATTATAAAAAATAATAATAATAAATCACTGCCGTTATCAAGTCCGTCTTTTCTTGTGTCATATTTGACTAAAAGACATCTACACTAGCAGCTACTAAACAGCTAACATAAAACCAGTAACGTAAAAGACTGAACTATTCTAACTTATTCTTTTAATATTAATGTTAATCAAACAAAATGTATATTACTAATTTTATTTTAAAAACTTACAACATCAAAGTTTATGTAGGCAAAGTTTACATACTGAACATGGTAAACGGATAATTTATCAAATACTGTTAATTAACAAACTGTGTAACTATCTGAGTATATCTGGCTAAATATGTATATCGACTAATTTTTTACCACATTAAACACAAATTAAAAGTAAAACTTCCGCATTTTTACTAAAGAATTCAGTAAGAACTGCAATTTGATTACAAGAGTAGTGGCCCGGATGGCCAAATTTATTACAGTGTTGAATTAAAAAACATTATAAGTATTACAAGTCTACTACATGTATAGTTACTGGAAATTAGAAATGGATATTCTATTAAGTACGTAGTGTTAATAAATAACCTTTGTATCTACCTAATAATGGCTTCAACTAAGAGTAAACAGTTCATATACGTATTTAATGATCTGGTTATGTACTATGTTAAACGCAAATTAAAACCAAATTTTCCGCATATTAGGTAAAGTATGACGTAATCATTTGTAATTTGATTACAGGAGAAGTGATACCGGGTGGTCACATTCAATACTCGTACGATCTTGATCATGTTAAATTAAAATAACAATGTGTTAATGATCTGTTACTGGTCTGGTAATAATTAAAAGCTGGCCATGTGTGTTTCATTAAAAACCTAATGTCATAAACGGACGATGGTTTAAATAAAAAAAAAACATGAGTTGAATACGAACGTTCTAAATATTAATATATTAGCTAAATTTCTAAATATTTGGTACGAAATAATGACTAAAACAAAAGAAAAAGACAAAGTTTTTAAACAGCTCTCAGATTTGATATGATCGTGAGACCGTCGGCGACCGGTGT